TTTAAATGTACATGGGGATTTAGGCCAGAGCGCAGGTAACATTCTCTTTGTTTTTCTATGTATTTTAAGCTGTTGGATACTAAGCTACTGCTGCTGTAAGCGCGGTGCTTTATCTTTGTGTTTGTAAATGTATTTTAATTCCTTATGAAATTATACGTCATCTTCCGGCGCCGGCATCCCTACGCAGCGCGAGGGAGCTGAAGAGGAAGCACTCAGGGGAGAGTGCTCCCTCACACGCCCACCAGCCTGCCCGCCTACCCAGTGACCGGCCGCCCAGGAGCCCAGCAGCACCACTGGACCCCAGGGAATCCCCTCAGCACTCCAAAAGGTAAGGAGGCTGGGGGATTATATTTAAAAAAAAAACATGAGTTAGTGTGAGTGTGAGTGTTAGTGTTAGTGTGAGTGTTAGTGTGAGTGTTAGTGTTAGTGTGAGTGTTAGTGTGAGTGTTAGAGTGTGTGTGTCTGCTAGTGAGTGTCAGTGAGTGTGTCTGTTGAGTGTGTGTCTGCTAGTGAGTGTCAGTGAGTGTGTTACTGTGCGTGTCTGTTACTGAGTGTGTTTGTGTATGTGCTAGTGAGTCTGTTTGATGTCTGTTAGTGAGTGTCTGTTTGTCAATGAGAGTGTATATTTTGTAAGTGAGTATGTATGTATGTCTGTTGCTGAGTGTGTCTCTGTCAGTAAATGTGTGTGTATGCGTCTGTTCGTGAGAGTTTGTGTGTGTCTTCAGCTTTCTCCAGCGCCAGACTCCCTTGGCTCAGCCTCTCAGGTCCGAATGCGCATGCGCGGCAAGAGCCGTGCGCGCATTCAAACTGCCCATAGGAAAGTATTACTCAATGCTTTTCTATGGACGTTCTGTGTCTTAGAATCGCGGAAGCTCCTCTAGCTGCTGTCAGGGAGACAGCCACTAGAGGCTGGATTAACACTCAGTGAAACATAGCAGTTTCTCTGAAACTGCTATGTTTTCAGCTGCAGGGTTAAAACTAGAGGGACCTGACACCCAGACCACTTCATTGAGTTGATGTGATCTGGGTGTCTGTAGTGGTCCTTTAAGTGTGTGTGCATCTGCATGCACTGGCGTACATACCGCGGTCGCACTGGGGCCCCATGGGTCATGTGTACGCCACTGCATGCTGGGATTATCAGGTATCCGGGCGCATGGTTGCAGATGGGCACAACTATTCCTGGCAGTGCTGTAAATACCATCATAAACATTTCTTCATATCTGAGAGTCAAATAGAACAGTCAAATACTGTGGTTACATCGCACTTTGAAAAATTCCAATATTTTTGGTGCTAAATAGTACATTAGCGGCCTGCGGTACATTTCTTGCAGTCCAATAAAACCCTTAAATACTACTGTTACATTGTTAGTTTTAAAAAATCACACTTTTGTGTGCTAAATAGAACATTTGCGGCCTGCGGTGCATTTCCTGCAGTCCAATAAAACACTTAAATACTTATTTTACATTGTTGGTTTAAAAAAAAAAATCACACTTTTTTGAGTAACTGTAATAATTACTCCTGTCAGACTGTTGTGTGACCTCTAGAAATGTTTTCTCTTTAGGACACCAGCACTGCCTTACTGTCAGCGAACTTAATTGTTGACTATTGGCGGTTACATTGTCGCCTGACATAAATCATCTGTTAGTTTGGTGGGTGAACGCATAGAAAGAGGAGAGCGTCAAATAAGGGATGTGGCCCTGATCGTGGTGCTGCTGGTGTTGGTGGAGCTCCTGTTGCAGGGAGAGGACGTGGTCGATCTGTGCCAGCTACACGCACAAGTGAAACACCTTCCTCAGGTGCGAGTAGGTGAAAGAACCTTCAGCATTATTTGGTAGGCCCGAATGCCGTTCTTCGAATAGTGAGGCCAGAACAAGTACAGGCGATAGTAGATTGGGTGGCTGACAGTGGCTCCAGTTCCTTCACATTGTCTCCCACCCGGTCCCCTGCTGAAACCTCAGAGTTGGCACCTGCAGCCCATGGCCATCTGTCTTTCACCTCAGCCCGTTGAAAATCAACAGAGCAGTCTGAGCCACAAGTCATGTAGCAGTCTCTTATGCTTTTTGATGACTCTGCTGGTGGGGTTTCCGTGGGCCATCCACCTAGCTCTGCCCCAGAAGTGGAAGAGATTGAGTGCACTGATGCACAACCACTTATGTTTCAGGATGTGGACATGCGAGGACCAACGCAGCACGACTCTGATGATGACGAAACATAGGTGCCAACTGCTGTAGCTTTCTGCAGTGTGCAGACCGGCAAGGAGGGCAGGGTTGAGGAGTGGGTGGAAGATGATGTGGAGAATTATGAGGTCCTAGACCCCACCTGGAATCAAGGTAATGCGAGTGACATGTGCAGTTTTGAGAAAGAGGCGGTGGTTGCACAGAGGCACCCTCACAGCATAAGAGGGAGCAGGGTGCAAAAGTGGAGCGGCTGTCCCATAGACAGTACGCCTGCTGCTGCCCACCGCACCCAGGGACCGAGAGTTCCCTGGCGTGGCAGTTCTTCAGACAACGTGCTGACGACAAGACACGGGTGGTTTGCACGCTGTGCAATCAGAGCCTGAAGCGAGGCATAAACGTTCTAAACCCGAGTACAACCTGCATGACCAGGCATCTACATGTAAAGCACGAGCTGCAGTGGAGTAAGAACCTCAAAAACCAAGAACGGTCTCAGGGTCCTCCTGCTTCCTCTTCTCCTGCTGTCTCGGCCTCTTCCTCCACCTCTGGAGTGACAGTGGACCCTGCCACCCCGCAAACAGAGGATGTGGCAGCAACGCCACCACATTCACCACAATCCCCAAGCATCTCCACACTGTCCCAAGGAAGCATTCAGCAGTCCATCTCCCAAACACTGGAGAGAAAGAGGAAGTACCCCCCTTCCCACCCGCTATCCCTGTCCCTGAATGACAGCATTTCAAAGACCCGGAATTTCGTCATTCCATTTGATGGAGATGGACAGTTTTAAAAACCTGATGGCGGTGGCTGTCCCACAATACGTGGTTCCCAACCACCACTACTTTTCCAGGCGAGCCATCCCTTCCCTGCTCAACCAATTGGCAGACAAAATCAGGTGTGCACTGTGCAAGGCCATTTGTGGCAAGGTCCACATAACCACTGATAAGTGGACCAGTAAGCATGGGCAGGGACGCTTTATCTCCCTAACTGCACACTGGGCAAATGTACAGCTGGGCCTGAGGCGAATTTCAGTTCAGTGCATGTCCTTCCGCCACCGAGGATTGCAAGGCATTTCTCTTTGCCTCCTGTTGCCTCCTCCTCCTACTCCGTTTCCTCCTTCTCTATGACCTCCTCATCCGGTCAGCGTAACACCTTCACCACCAACTTCAGCACAGCCTGGGGGAAACAACAGCAGGCTGTTTTAAAACTTATATGTTTGGGGAAAAAAACCTACACCATGCAGGAGCTGTGGACGGGCATAGAACAACAGACCGATGAGTGGTTGTTGCCATTGAGCCTCAAGCCCAGCCTGGTGGTGTGCGAAAATGGGCGAAATCTTGTAGCAGCTCTGGGCCTAGCGGGTTTCAGCCACATCTCTTGCCTGGCGCAAGTGCTGAATTTGGTGGTGCAGAAATTCCTGAAAAACTACCCAGATATATCAGAGCTGCTGCAGAAAGTGGGGGCCGTCTGTGCGCACTTTCAGCGTTCTCACCCTGCTGCTGCTCGCCTGTCTGCGCTGCAACGTAACTTCGGCCTTCCCGCTCACCGCCTCATATGCGACATGCCCACAAGGTGGAACTCCACCTTGTACATGCTGGAGAGACTGTGGTAGCAGCAGCAGGCGATAGTGGAGTTTCAGCTGCAGCACGCACGGGTCAGTCACTCTGCACCAGACTTGCCCTCCAATAGATCCTCGTTAGAGGATTGAAAGTGTACTCAATACAATTACAGGGCCTCGAAAGAGTCCTGTATTGTTATTTTTCATCACTACCTCCCCGCTTTGGGAGTGGGTGTGACGAGAGCAATCTCGCCACATTGCATTGGAGAATCCTGGTTGCTCGCCTGCTGCCTTTGGACTATGGCCCCATGTTAAAAGACATCTTTTTCACTTCAGAAAAGACTTATTTGTACTTTTCTGCCCGGTGTTCGGTAGATTCTCGGATTTACTGAATGAACTCATATAACCCAGATAGGTATGCCATGGAGCCTATTTTTGTAATAAAAGACTTTGGCTCCATGGCAATTGAACTGTATGTGTTTGTGGTCTGAGCGCCATTCAGTATTAATGTGCGCTCAGACCTAAGCTATCTGGGCATATGTTGCATGTCTGTATTTTATGTCATAAATGTAACCTTGTGTATTTTATTGTATTTTACTGTCTTTTTGCTGCCATGTGTTCAATGGAGTTTTGCCTCTGTCTTTGGAGATAATTGGATTACTTCTAATTATCTCCAGGATAGAAGACTCTGTGGAACTGGTTTTGGGCAGAAAAGCCATTATTCCTGTGGGCACAAAGGACTACGATCTAATCTTTGAACCACTGGACCAATTTGTATGATTTTGACGTATGTTTGTATTTGGAGTATGCTGATTCTGAAGCATACTTTTCAAGTTATGAATAATGTGGAAAAATTGTATTTCTCTGCTTGTGCTAAATTACATTACCCATTGTGTAAGGTAATTGAATCACATGCAGAGGGGAGGAATTTGTGTGGGAGTGTCTGAGTGTATTGTATGTGTTTATTGGTTGTGTTCCAAAACCCTGTGGGTGGTACTAATGTGTAAGAATGTGTACATAAGCACAATAAAGTCTGTTCACTGCTTGAACCTCAACACGGAGCTTTGTCTCGTTCTTGGGGGGATTTATTGTATGCTGTTCCAGTTCGACTGCTAGGAGTGTAAACCTATTCGTATGGTTTTTCCTATTCGGCTGTTTACAGCATTCGTATGGTTTCCTGTTTGACGGATTAGTGTTCTGCAGTAGCTGTGCCTGTGTCTCTGGAAGGGAAGATCTACTAAACGGCGGTTTAACCCTTTTATGCCTGGGGGTGCCGTTACAGTGGGTAATTTGCGCGCCTGCTGCCTTCCTTGGATGTGGTAGCTGTTGCTCAGGCTCCCTCTCCGGAATCAAACCCTGATTCCCCATTACCCGTGGTCACCATGGTAGGCGCAGAAAGTACCATCGAAAGTTGATAGGGCAGACATCCGAATGCGTTGTCGCCGTCACGGGGACGTGCGATCAGCCTGAGGTTATCTAGAGTCACCAAAGTGTCTGTGCAACGACTGCCGAGTTGCCCACATTCTAACCTGTGCTGATTTCTGGGTGGCCACCCTGCTACAAGGACAACGTTACAAGGAAAACATGCTGTCCTTAAGTCCCTAACTGAAGCGTGATCAGAAGATGCGCGATTACATGCTGCTGAGGGCATTGCCAACTGACACCGGGGCTCAGTGCGAGCATAAGGCGAAGGCAGAGGAGGAGGAAGAGGTCGCCAATGCAGCTGGGGCACCGCCAGCACCTCAGAAGGCAGTGTTAGCATGGCCAAAATGTGGAAAAGCTTTGTCAGCACGCCACAACAACCAGCACCACCATATGATATGGAACGTCTTTCAGCAACATGGTGGAACAGCACGTGTGCACACGCCTACACGTACTGACTGATGGGTCTGTCCCATTCAACTTCTAGGTCTCCAAATTGGGCACATGGCATGAGCTTGCCCTTTATGCCTTGGAGGTGCTGGCCTACCCTGCAGCCAGTGTATTGTCTGAACATGTATTTAGCACGCAGGGGGCGTTATCACAGACAAGTGCAGCCACCTTTCCACAGCCAATGTGGACAAGCTCACGTTTATTAAAATGAACCAGGCATGGATCCCACCAGACTTGTCTGTACCTTGTGCAGAATAAACATTTATACCGGCCTCACCCAGCCATTGTTATACTCAAGTGCACTTATTCTTTGTTTTCTTTTTTTATATGTCCCAATATTTTGGGGGCTACCTCAATTGTTTGCAGGGTACTTGTCCTACTCTTACCCCCATTTTACTTCCTTTTGCAGCCAACTAGCATTTTCCAGGACTTTTTTATAGCCATTTTAGTTCCCAAAAGTTCAGTTCCCCATTGACTTCAATGGGGTTTGGGGTCAAGTTCGAGCCCGAACTTGAACTTTTTTCCGATGTTCGACCGAACCCGGTGAACCCGAACATCCAGGTGTCCGCTCAACTCTATTCGTCATTATTATTATAATTATTGCTCTTCATAAAGCGCCAGCTTATCACGCAGTGCTTCACAAAAAGAGGGGTATTTGTCAAATGAGACAATAACATTTTTGTAACAGGAATAATAGGTAGTTGATGATAAATACATTAATATATATATATATATATATATTTATATATATATAGTCAAATTGTATATAATAAATAATCATAACATATAATAATCGCAATCTCAAAATGTGTGATATAAAATAATCCACATAATAATGAAATAAACACACATCCCTGAATTCAAATCTTTATTGAAGTACAAACCAATGAATCATATAAACAGGGAGGGGAAAGAAGGGTGGGAAAATACTTGTCTCCTGTTCTTAATAAAATTCAGATTATAGGTACACTGCGTTAGCATAATCTACAATTTTATAACATGACAGGAGGCTTCGTATTTTGCATTTTTAAAACTGTGGATGAAGAGCAAAAGGAGCATGCGAAACCTGATGGAATGAACAAACACGAAATGTACTATCTCTAGTCCAGTCCACGGATTGCAATATGTCGGTAGACGAAGCACCTGCCGGAAAGACCTTCAATGTTGTTGTGCCCTGAACCGAGTAATAGCCAAAACAAGAGTCTACACCCATTAGGGATATACGCCAGCAAAAGGGTAAATAAGAGGTCCTGACTAGGCTGTCCGTAGAGGAGCGGTACGCTCTACCTATCCTAGTAAAGTGTCCACCATGCAGAAGCAGTAAACAGTCCGAAAAACAGGCTATGAGACGGAGGAAGTCCCATCTTAGTCCGACGCGAGATAGAAAATACATTCCTTCCAGAATTAAGGAAAAAATGTCTACGCCGAACGCTCAAATGTCCGTAATCTGTTAAAAGAAAAGGACACAAAAGTGTAAGTATCGCCGAGAGTTGGCGCAAAGACAATTTTGTATTGTCTGGCCATACACAACGAAAATGTAAAACAAGATCCATGTCCTACATACGCGAGTATTTGGGAGTAGGTGGTCTAGACAGACGAATCCCTCTAGAAAGTGACAGACAAGAGGGTTTTGACCTTTAAGAGACCCCTGTAGGGGGCATGAGCCACCAAGATAGCCAAATGTGTAACATTGATAGGGTGATACCATTTTCCCGACGCAAAGGGGATGGGTTAAGAAATTTAGCACAGCAGTCACAGGTGCCATAAAGAGATCGAGGTCCCTCTCCGTACATCAATTACTCCATCTGATCCATGTGGAGTTGTGGCTCCCTCTATTGCCTGGGGACCCAGGCCACTAGGTCCAAGTGTCTTTGGAGGACCAGTGGATGCAATTCCCCATGGGTGTTTGTCAATAGATGCGATAAGGATTATAGCAGGAGGGGTGATCCTGAGATAGTTCCAATAAATCTGGACATCATGCTTGACTCTGTCATCAGGGAGTGACGAATGACAGAGTGAGCTTGCGGATCTGCAAGTGATGAAGGAATCTCACCAATCTGGAGGACAGACAAAGAGCATAGGCTCCTTGGAACGTCTAATTCCAAAGTAAAGCATCCATTGCCTCTTACCCTGGATCCGGAAGCCAGTTGAAATAGCTCTGTTATTGCCTATTGGACCGGGATGCAAATTTTAAACTGGAGCAGACCCCACAGAGTCCACCGTGTGTGGAATATTGAGACGTTAGGTCTCCATCCATTGACGTCCCTCCAGAGTCAAGAAACCCAGTCCGCCAATACGTTGTCAAATCCTGTTAAGCATACTGCACGTAGAGTGGTGTTGCGAGGCAGGCTGAATCAGTACATGTCCATTGTTGCTTCTGTGAGATCCGGGGATAATGCTCTGTCCAAGCTGTTTATGTATCGAACCACTGATATGTAGCCATTCCACGTCTGCATGTGAAGTAATCACCAATGGAGTTCAGCCATTCCTTCAGGCGTTACTGGTATTCAATGGCCGTAAGCGTGACCTGTCCGCAGATAATAGGCTTACAGTCAGTGCATAGTTTTGTAGTGTAATGAGGACAGGAGTCCCACCACACGAGCCTGGATTTAGAAAGGGATTGAGTCCTTGCGCAGAGTACGCACGATTTCTCAGCGAATGGCTTTAATTTTATTGTTAGGTAAAAGTACACATTTGGTCAACTCGATCTCGAATCCTGGGAATTGTATCACCTGAGGTGGTGCTAGACTTGATGACCCCTTGCTTACGATGACTCCCCGTGATTCCAGAAGGTATATTACCAATTCCGTCTTTGAGCGCAGTCTGGAGATGGAATCGCAAAAAAATAATATGTAGTCTCGATCAGACAACGGACCCTTGTGATCATCGATGAACCATTACCGGTTTCAGAAGTATGGGGAAGCACCAAGGTGTTGAGTCGAGTCCAAATGGTAGTCATGTGAATGTGACAGTCCTGCCAGATGAGACTCAGGAGGCGAGTGCTCTCTAGTACTACGGGCATGGAAAGATAGGCGTCCTTCGTACTGAGATGTATGAATTGTTGGCCAGTAGGAGATCTTGTAACAGACAAATACCTTACATCTTGAAATGGCAATAGACTACAAATTCTTTCGTGTGACATGACTTGACGGCTGGACGGTAGTGCCCTGTCTTTTCCTGACCACGAATATCTTCTTGAAGGAAACCTGACCTGTCCGGAGATAACTGGACTGCTTCTTTGGTGAGCATGACCCGGATGCCTTCGTCAATGAGAGGTCCGTGGGTTGCCCTCATTCGTAACGGATGAGGACATCCAACCAGTGAGGGTGAAGAGTGGAGTCCTATAATGTATTCCCGAACGGTCCATAGGATTCAACCGTGTGTTGAATGTGGTGAAGAGATTCACATGCTCAAGTTCAGCGATAAAGGTTCGGCAAATAATAATCCAGTTGACAATGGTCCTATTGCTCTCTTCCCTAGATCCGAGAGCTCGTTGTCAATTTCTTTGAAGATATTGGGTGTCATGGTGCCCATGGGTTGAATGGGGGTAAACCCAGTGTGTCGATGAAGACATTTTCATCAGTGTATGCAATCTTGTGACAACCCTTTCTCTATGGGGAGTACTATGTTACGTATTCCTTAATGTAATGAGATGCTGTAGTTGGCATAATGTGCCCATTATCAGTAACAATGGTCAAGCCAGTTGTTCGCCATTTGTTCACTTTCGCCATAGTGGGTGAATTGGGATAAAAGTCTTCCTCCTTGGAGGATGGAAGTGGAGGAGGGACTACGTCATATGATTGAGTGGAGGCCTCCCTTTAAATCTTATGGTTGCAAAGCTTGAGCCTTCCTAGTGCCTTTTTGGAAGGGCCATGGGTACCCTGGATATCTCAGAGCTCTCTGCTCCCACCAGATCTTGGTTGGCAGACGGGAGACGTCTATTGATTCAGATGGGAGATTGCGCACTCTACAAAGCACCTTCTTCACTGATGTCAGTGGCATACTAAGGGGATGGCGGGGGGGGCGGTCCGCACAGGGTGCCATCAGGCAGGGGGTGCCACCAGGGCTGGCCAGGCTTGGTGTTCAGTGAGCTGTGTGGCTGCACCGGGTGCCATAGCAGCAGGGGCGCCAGGCAGCTGACACAGCTCACCCGCAGGGGCTGGGAACAAGCTGGAGACCTGCACAGAGATTTGGGGGCGGAGCCAGATCGGCCGTGGGGGCAGAGCCAAGTCGGATGTGGGGGCGGAACTAAATGCAGCCTCATACTGCTGCACACAAAGGGGAAGCAGGAAGGAGTCCCTGCTTCCCCAACTACTGCACAGGAGGGACTGAATCCACACCTCCTCCAGCCGAAGCTTACTGTAAGTGAGAGAGTGTGTGCTGTGTGTGTGTAACTGTGATCGTGACTGTCTTTGACTGTGTGTGTGATTGTCTGCTTGTGTGTGTGTGTGACTGCCTGTGATTGTCTGTGTGATTGTCTGCCTGTGATTGTCTGTGTGACTCTGTGTGTGTGTGACTCTCTGACTGATTGTGTGTGTGTGTGACTGTCTGTGATTGTGTTATGTGTACGTATGACTGTCTGCCTGTGATTGTGTGTGTCACTGTCTGTGATTGTGTGTGTCACTGTCTGTGTGTGTG